TATATAGGGAGGGTTTCCAAAGAGCAACTGGTGGGTTTGAACCGTGGATTTTGCAGTTAGCAGTTCGGTGCTTACTGTACAGTGCCACCCCAGGACTCCTTGGAATTAATTAACTTGGTAAAAAGGCCAAAAGCTCAAACACAAATTTGAAGAGATTTGTGAATTAGATCCCAGCTGACTGGGGGTGGAAGATCTCTGGAGAGTAGTCCCCAGCAGGGCCTAATCTGGGGGCTCTAGAAACTTCTCTGGGCTTTGCCCCTGGCTCCTGAGCAGACATGGCAGAATCCAGCTTTGTGCTCTTGGATGTGCTTTGGTATCCCCTGGGGTTTTGGTAAAGTAGGTGTGGGATGGGATAGGGACCCAGGGTGTCTGTCAGGATTTGGGTTGCAGGCCCACACCCACGGGTGTGGGTGTCAGGTTCACGCTGGGCAGCCCCTCCCATCCCTGCCATCCTGATGTGGAGACTTCTTGTGGGGGAAGTGGCTCTGGAGAGGAAGATGCCAGAACTCAGGGCACGCCCCCTCCCAACATCTCCCAAGGCGGGGAGTGAGATTAGGATCAAGATTCACATGGACTTCTCTGGGCAGTGAGGCCAGTGTGGAGTGGGAGGTGGACTGAGGAGGCCGGGCCTGCTCTCTGGTATCCTCCTCCCTTGCAGGGGGCTCTTGCCTGGTTGGGTCTGCTAGAACCCAACCTTCTCCAACCCCAGAGGAGAGGGCAGAGCAGGTTGGGTCCAGGGCTTGTCTTGGGAACCCAAGGGACTGGGAAGAAATCTGTGGTGGTAGCGTAGTGGTTACGAATCAGGCTGTGAACCGCAAGGTCAGCAGTTTGAAACTACCAGCTGTTCCACGGGAGAAAGATGAGGCTTTCTGCTCCCGTAAAGATTTACACCCTCGGAAACCCTGTACAGGGTCGCTATGGGTCGGAACCAACTCGACAGCACTTAACAACAACCACCACCACCAGCAATCTTTACGGAAGCAGATTGCCAGGGATAAAGTTCAGCAGGCCAGCAGGGTAGGAGATGACAAATAAAATGTTAAGTATAGAAAAGGAGTGGGAAGAATGCTGGGGGACTGCATTTAGTGTCACCAAGTAGGTAGGAATTGTTAATGAAAAAGCAATTTGCTCTGTAAACTTTTATCCAAATCACAATAGTTAAAATAGAAAATGTATTGCCTTGGGCTAATAGGTTGAACAAGAACCTCTCTATAAAGTCACTGAAAATGCTGTGGAGCACATCTCTGTTGTGACACGCATGGGGTCGCCATGACGTGGAGTCAACTTGATGGCAAACGGTTGGGATTATGGAGGGAACCCTGGAAAGGGAACCCAGGAAAGGCATCTGTTCAGAGCACGCCCTCTTACCTTGCTGCAGACACCCCGGGCTCTCAGAATCACATTTGAGCCGTCACACTTCAAGCCATCTCTCTTTGCCCTGAATCCAACTTCCTTCAGTGCTGCCGTTGGAAAATGCTCTCCATTTAGTGAGCTTTACAGTGGAGATTCTCCTAAGCATGGGGTTTGTCCAGGGTGTCACTGCTCTGCCAAGCCCTACCTCCGCTCAGGATACCTACACTAACAGGTTTTGAGTTATCTGAGCTCTCTAGCTGGGGAAACTCAATCATCTCAATGATTGAGGAGGAAATAATGCCTGGCTTTGGCTGTTTGCTAAAGATGGACTGAGTCCCTGTGACCCACCTTTGGCCCCTCGTACCCTCAGGTCCCTGCCTGCTGGCCTTACAAGAGACAAATCCTGTGCAGCAAGCTGAGGTGAAGTTTCTGGTCCAAAGCTCTGACAAGTGATATACCTGAGTAACTTTGAATACTCTCTTCAAAGGCTATCCCAACAATTACGGCCAAGAGCAAGAGGTTGCTATTTAAGGATGCCACTCCAGCTGCCCATGCTGGTGGAAAGAGCGTTGGAGACCCTCCAGTAACATAAATTACCTGTCGGCAGGCAGGTAACACAGATGACTCCGAAATGAAGGGTTAAATTAAATCACAGCACAGCCATGTGACCGGCAATCTGCAATTTTTAAAATATACCATTTTATTGCTTAGATGGTTTGATACAGAACAGCTTTTCTTTTCATTTTGAATTTGGAAGTACTATACAACTGAACACAAAGAGGAACAAAAGTACCAAAAACCAAACTTGTGATTCTCTGTTCATGTGGTATAAACCAGTTTTGTACATAAACATGTAGCAGCAGTTTTTTAAGTTCCCTTTAGAAAAATAATGAATTCTACACATTTATTATTGTTTCCTGTTTAATGCATGGGCTGAAATCACTAGGATTAACTTCCTTCTTGAACTGAACGGAGGGGAGGAGAGAGACCATCAGAGGGTCAGGGGACACGGCGAAATCTTTCTGGAACTGCCATCTGACTGTTGCGTAGCTTCCCCAGGGTGAGCTAGAGACCAGTCATCCAGCGGGGTTTTGCTTTCACAGTCACGTGTTTAATGTAGTGATTGAATCTCGGCATTATGTTCATTCATCAACGAGTAAAACAAACAGAATAACTTGCACCTCAAAAAAAAAAAAAAAAACTTTTCAGAAGATCCATATATATATATTTTTTTTGTAAAAGCCCTGAGAGAAGGAAAAAGAGAATCAAACAAAATGTAAAGAAACAAATTAGCTGGACATGCAAAAACTAAGCTATGATTCACCCAGAGTTTAAACAAATCACAAATTTCACAGTTTAATATTAGGGGATGTGGGGGAGGGGAAACAACAAACAAATAATACATTTCTCATTCTCACTAATAAAATGTGGCAAGACCTTATCAACTACGAGGGTATAGATAAAGGCTAAATAAAGCTTTAAATCAATAGTGATTATTGCGAGCTGCAGTCCCGGCTACGTTGCTGGGAGCTGATTACTGCTACATCTCACGCAGCGTAGAGTTTAGTCATGGCCGCTCCCCCACAATATTGCGAGTTTTAGTGTGGGGAGTTGCAAAAGAAGAACAAAAACACAAGAAACCCCAAATAATAACAACAAAAATAATAATAGTAATAAAGACAAAGAAATCAAGGGTTGTATGAACTGGTTTTCACAGGCAGATCACACTTGGTAAAGTCGGGCAAGGGATCATTGGTTCTGATTTGCATTCATCTAGACTCAATAAAACCTCATTGTAAAACTGGTTCATACATCCCTCATACACTTAGAAGTCATATATACCTCGAACTTCTTCCTTTCATATGCAATGCTATCACTTTTCATTCTCTCCAGACTATGCATGCGTCTTCCCCTGACATTGGGTGGTTGAATTTCAGCCACCAGAAATGGGTGAAGAAGTGGAAAACGTAGGTGTGCGGCTCTCTGTGCACAAGTGTAATAAGCGCAGGAACACGGAGATGCACAACAGGCACCGTCCCGGGACGGGACGCAGGGGGTGGGGCTGCCTCCTCCAGATGAGGCAAGAGGGTTCAAGTGGCGGACAGCACCGGGAGCCCTGGGCAGCTCTGCGGCTTGGGCGTCCCAGACGTCTCGCTGAGGGCAGATGCTGAACGGGGTGCCCCGCTCAGCTCAGCTACAGTAGGATCTATTTCTTTCCACTGCTGACGGCTACAGCGAGGGAATTCTATTGCCTGCACAGGATGCTCATGGGGTCGGGGCAGCCAGGCTATTGCAGAAACTAGAAACAGCAAGTTTTATCTTCAAGCACCAACCCTAAACTGCAGGAAGGTTATTCCACATCTGTTTCTTTACTGAATCTCGCATGTATAGTTCCTATCACCAGTAGTAGTATTTCCTTGCTTTCCAAAAGGCAGTAACACAGCGGGGTTAAGGCTGGCGTTGGGTTTAACAGGCAGACTGAGAAGACCTTGATCGAGCTCCCCAGGCATGGGCAGGGACACACACACTCCAGCATCCTGCTCGGAACCGCTCCCCCACTGGTTCCAGAGGGCTCGCGCTACTTCCCGTGGAGTCTCCAGCCCGTGGACGAAAGGCTGGTCTGAGTACAGTAGAAGAGCTACCACAAGGGTGCTGGCCCCGGTGTGGCCAGACACATACACGGGGCCCCAGTGCTGGTACCGGGGCCCCGGGACAAATATTGCCCATTTGTTTCTGCTGACTGTAGAGACTCGCAGACTGATGATATTAAAAATAATAATATAATAATAACAATAATATTAATAATAATATATTGAAAGGGAGAAATAAAAATCTATGATAGCTGTGCATAATATTTCCATAGGTTACACTGCCAGGGTAACTCTTCTTCTCTGTAAGGCAAGAATGAAGGTCTGGAGATGTGAGCAGTCAGACCACCTCGGATGCTACAGGAGTGGGAACACTGTGAGGTGGACGCTAGAGTCTCTCGTGTTTGGGGCTTAAACCCAATATGAAACCATCAACCACCTCCTGCAACACCAGGGACAAGATTCAGCTCTACCAGGTAGCAAACAGGAAAAAAAAAAAAAAAGGTCTGAGAAATTAGCATTTTATCCATAGTTCCTCTGGTAATTTACATGAAATTCACATCATTTTTATTCCAGTTATTGGCTATGGGTATCCACGGGCATTTTTTCTTCTGTTTCCAGCTCACAGAACAAACAGTACTATCACAGATTCACAAGAACAAGCTCACACACACCAATACAAAAGGTAACATTAATGCTTAAATGAAAAAGTCCTCTCCAAAACAATTCATTGAAATATTTGCTTTGCTTTCGTTTCTTAGGAAGTCATTTTGGAACAAAACAAAACAAAACAAAACAAAAACGATGATACTAACGGGTCTGGTAAAGTAGTTAAGGCACTCGGATCAGTCTGTGAGTCGTCTGGTGCTGGTGGGGACGCGAGGCTACAGCACCGAGGCGCAAGGGTCTGCCTTGCGTTCGTTGTTTTTTTTTTGCCCATGCGCATGCGCGCTCCTGCTCCCAAACTGCAAAAAGGCATTGAGGACGCCTTGGGAGACGCAGAGTCGCGGCGCTCTGCTTTGCTCTGCTGGCTCTGTGTGCTGGGGTGCCGGGCACGAGTCATTCCATTCCCAGGATTGGCGCTGAGTCGTCCTCAGCCGCCAGGACGGGCTGAGCCGGCCTCCTGCTGGGCGTCTCCAACAGGTCCCGCTCTGGGGTGGCCGGGCCCTCCTGGTCAGCGGGACCCTGAGACGCCTGTTCCTTGGGGCTGGACTTGGGCACACTCTTGCTGGAGTCAGCCTGGCAGGAAGTTGCCATCCGACCCGCAGTCTTCTCTTCCTTGCGACTGGCCTCCTTGGCCAAGCTCTCCTTGCGGCTCCTTGTGATGGCCATGTGGTTGCTGGTGGTCAGCGTGGACTCGGCCTCACTCTCTGAGATAGGGTTGTTGCCGCTGTGTGTGGACTCGTTCTCGCTATCCTCCTCACCCTTCTCGTCCTGGTCACCATCTTTCCCGTGGTGCCGGGCCTTCTGGTGGATGCGCTGATGGCGAACCAGGCTGTGCTTCAGCGTGAAGGTGCGCTCACAGGTCTGGCATTTGTACGGCCTCTCCCCTGCAGGGACAGCACAGAGACAAGTACCCATAAGGGATAAGCCCACCACTGTTAGGCCCCCTGCTCTGCATGAGAGCTGCAGCTAGGGTAACAAAGGGAAGCCCGGGCAAAGGGGCAGTGGGGATGCCGTGTGCATAGGGGTGCCTAGGACTCACTCCTACTGAGGGAAACCTCATCTGTCTGCATGGCAACCTGGGGAGCTAGCGTCAAAGTGACAAGGGTTGTGTCCCTGTCCAATTTTTTAAATACTCTGATCTAGGATGTAAAAGTGGACATCTCAGGGGGTCCAGGCTGGCTGAGCTCAGGGCTTGGGATACTACAGGAGGGCCCTCTTGTGGGCAAGTGGGCGCGTCCTAAGGGCTGACATGGAGCAGCTGCAGCCTTCCTCCTGCTGGAAACACTGAGCAGCTGAGGACAACACCTGTCGGGAACCCAAGAATATCATCCTTCTGTTGGGAGCCAAACACCAGAGCCTGCAAACCCTGAGGCCACAGCTTGGGTCAGGTTGACTGTGCAGAGCCCGGCAAGTGTGTGGGCACTGGGCTGGCTACGGCACTGTGTGGGCCAGGGGTGAGCTTGCAGGGGAGCATGGCTGCATCAGGAGGGGGAATGGGAAGAGAGAGCAAATGTGACCCGCCTAAGGTTTCTGCGAGTGGCAGAGGGAGGTCTGTCATTTGGCCTCTCTGCTTTGGGTGTGGCCTCTGGCCTCCATCTCCTGGTGGGGGAGCTCCAGGAGGGACATGGCCAATGCTCACCCAGGTCGCTCTAGCCCCTGCACTGTTATAACAGCCAAAGGAAGGTCCTGGCCCAACAGGCCAGCTAAAGTAAAGCAGAAAAAGTCCCTGGGATACCACGGCGAGTGTGTAGCAAGCTTCCCATGTTACTGCTGGTGGGATGGGGGCACCCAGCTCTTCCTGGCATAATCTGGGGCAGTGCCAGAAAATATGGCTCTGCTGATGCTGCCCAGGCCAAATTCCAGTTCGTCCCCAGGGCCACACACACACAAAAATCCAGCCCACAGGCCCCAGGCCTGACCCACAAAGTCCTTGTAGATATCCATGCCCACCGTGAGAAAGCCTGGCAGCAACCCTCCCATTCCATAGCCAGGGAGACATGTGCAGAGGGCCACAAGCCTAGTTCTCTCTAATGCTCCTGAGCCCACAGGAAGGACTAGGAGAACTAGGAGACCCCCCACCCTTACCCAAGCAGAAGGGACACAAGTACATTCTCTCCCTGTGGCCCTGGTTCCCCTGAGGCCTCCCCCAACTCATCCCAGCCCCTTACCTGTGTGCGACCTCATGTGCCGGGTCAGGTCCTGCAGAGACCAGAACCTCTTATTGCACACGCTGCACACTTTCTTCCTCTTGTCAGCCTTGCTGGCCACACTCTTGGGGGAGTCTGTCTTTGGCTTCTTGTCATCATCGCTTCTCTCCGAGGCCTTCTTCTCAGCTGTGCCCTCCCCATCAGAGACGCCTTCCCCCTCCTCCGGGGGCTTCTCCAACAAGGTCTCCCCAGCACCTGGCTCCACAGCGGCGGAGCCGGTGGGCATGTCTTCAAGCTCCGGGGTAGGGCTGGCCACCGGGGTGGGCAGAGGCCCCTCAGCCCCTCCCAGCCTGCCCTCCTCCTTCTGCTCCTCCCGGCTGTGAGCCTTCTTGTGGCGGCTCAGGGTCCCCAGGAACTTGAAGTTCTTTCCACAGACATGGCAGGCATGCTTCAGCTCCTGCTGGGGAGAGCCCCCGCCTCCCGCGGCGGCACCCTCGGCCAGCTTGAAGTCCATCAGCTTGCTGGCGAAGTTGAGATCCAGGCTTTTGTTGCTGCCCGTGTCCTCCTCCAGGCTCTCGGCATCGTCAGCCCTCTCCTCGGCAGCACCTGTCTCCTCTGGTGCCCCATCCTTCTCCTCTCCCTTCTCGCCCCCACTTGTAGGGGAGGCTGTTCCTCCCCTGGCTTCCTCTGCTGGGGGGTCTTCTCCCACCTGGCTGGGCTCAGGAGCCCCTTCTGGTGCCTGCTGCTCCTTCTCCCGGGAGGTCAGGTCTAGCACCTCATTTACTGCTGTCGATGTCTCCGTGTCTGACTGGCTATCTGCGGGCAAACACACAGGGAGAGGGGCCTGAAACAGGATGGGACACCTACCCAAAAGCCCCCTTCCAGCTGAATCCACCCCCAAGCAGCCCACCTCCAAACCCAGCAAGGATCTCTCTTGACCCAAATTCTCTTCACCCCTTCTTCCCCTTAGAAGGTTACGGTGAATTTGGGAGACTTAAAAAACAGCAGAAATTGCCTTGACTTATATACACAGGCTGGGTGTGCAGGGCTGACTATGCCTTCCACCATGACCCCCACTGCCCACAGAGGCGAGTGACCAGGGTGGAGCAGAGAAGGGAACTGGGAGAGAGCAGAGTTGGGTGCATTCCGGAGACTCACAGTACTAGGGAGGTGGAGAAAGCGGAGTTCTAAGAGGAATTTACATGCAACATACACAGGACTCCTCCCTCTCCCAACACTCCCAAACACTGAGTCTGACAAGAGTTTCAGAGCAAATGCCCCAAAGCACATCTCCTGTGTGCATGGTATACACATGCTTGCCTGATGTCCTGCTAGAGAACGCAGAGCAGGAGACACATGAACACTTGTGCTTTCCTGGTTTGGTTAGTACTTCTAGGAGGTGGTGGGAACTATCAGAGAAGGGTCTCCTCGACTTTTGCTAGGTACGGTCAGAGTACCCAGGATGTGTGAGAACAAGAAGGGAAGGAGGCTGTGGAGTGTGTGAGGGGTGTGGGGAATGAGGTCGGGATCTTGCCAACTTGGATTCATGTCCCTTGACTGTGTCTATCTGTCCACTTTCCACAGCAAAACAGAATGTGAACACTCCTCTCCAATTTGCACGACTTCCTCAAGGGACGGGACCCCAAACAGGTGGCAGTCCTGTCTAAAGCGCACTCTCCTTCTTCTTCAGGCTAAGCGAGCATGTAGTGCCTTCTAAAGATCCTGTTCCACGATTATGAAGTTGAAGCCTATTGGTGCCTTCTTTTCAGTTGTAGATCTAGTGACCAGTTAATTCTGAACAAAATCAAACTGACTGCACACTCGATTTCAGGGCATAGACATCAGATGCGTGTCTCTAAGTGCTTTAGACCTGCGACTGTAGGGCTTAGGCAGCAAAGATCACTGTGTCTAAATGGGAGAGAGCTTTCTACAACTTGACGCACCCAAATGTCAAATCCTGTCCACGGCTCTTTCTCAGCTTCACACACTCGATTTATTTGTAGTCAGGTCACAGGGTGGGATCAAGGAGTCAGTTCCATACTCCCGTGACTTGAAGAGGACTAGTATGGGCTCCTCCTACCTATGTGGGTCGATGCGTGATGGCTTACTGAAATCCATATGCACAGCAGTTCCACACACTGTATTGCATGGCATTTGCCTACACCTTTTGGAAGTCATTGTTGGGTGTCCCACGGCTTCAGAAGTTACACAAGTAATTATGGTATGAATTCAACATTTTGAAAAGCAATGATTTTTGGAAATTATCTAAAAGCTTTGATAATCGGAATCTTGAGATAGGCACACTAATGTCTAGGGCATGGGCCAAGGAAGAACTATAAAGGCTCTTCTGAATCATTTAAATAGAGAGCATCTATTGAATGCATTTTGTATAAACTCTGAATTAAAAGACACAGAAGGCTGTTTCTTATGTGCTGATTTTGTGAGCCTTTAAATTAGAAAAAAGGGAAAAAATAAGGATAAATTTCTGGCTACTTTTCTGCTTTGTACTATCAGTATATTCTAGGCTATTCTCATAATCATTCGTTTTCCCCACCAAAGACAATTCCAACTCAGACTTGCATGGAAATTGAAGTTCACCCTTTTACCAAGGGAGCTTGGTTACACTCAACCCAATTTCCACTAGGGGGAGCGTTTCAGCAGGGCAGCTTCTGTCCTTCCATTTTCAGCGACTGTACTGATTCGTGATTCTGGTGAACAATAGACTGAACCTCTTCCCATATCCGACATGTAATGCCAGGTCCTATTTTGGTCTCCGCCCTCAACACAAACCCAGACAGCCTGGTGGATAACAACCTGCAGCTGCTCCTACAGGGAAGTGGAGATGTCCCCAGTCATTCCAACGGAACTACTGCCTCCTAGAACTGGACTTGACAAGCTACCAGTGGGAGTCACTGACCAGGCTGGACAATGGCAGCACACCAACAGTCCCTCTGCCGGTGTTTCACCTAATGCACCCTGGGGCTGGCAGCTTTCCCTGCAGCACCATCCACATTGGCGATGGGACTCCCAGGTTGGTAGGGGTATTCATGGTTCAAAGATTTTCTACAGATTCCAGAAGTCTGCATTCATTGTCACACAAGGCTGCCACAAGGGCAGAAGTGGCCACCACACTCTCCGTACACAGGAGAGGAAATTTCAGTTCCATTTTAACTCTTTAACTCTGAATATTCGCAAAGTCCCCAGAGCTAGAATTCTGCCTACTGAAGCATTTTTGGAAGGTCCAGATTTGTAAAGGGCTTTATATGACTGAAAACGGCAGACTCCCACCAAACAACACATGTTTAGGGATTTTAAGAAAATGTAATATAGACATAGATAAACCTAGAGAATCATTTACTGCCTTTGCTTTTTAATCCCCACACAACCTCCCTACCAAGCCTTACTTTTAATGTCACTGGAGGCAGCCTGGCAAAGGCTCCACCCTGGATCCTACTCTCCAGGTTTAAAAACCCTCCCTGGAGTCACTGAACGGAATGCTGTCCCAGACCTTCTTGTGCTCCCTCTGAAACCACAGTCCCTCGAGCTTACCACAGTGTGATCGCAGTTAACCCAAACATCCATTTTCTCCCTGATGGTTTTGCAGCACAACTTTATAAGATTTTCAGTTCCAAAAGATGTGTCCCTTAAAGTAAACCTGTATGTTTATATGGCTTACAGGGAAGGGCTTGGACTGGATTTGAGGCAGCAAAACTTGTGAATGCAGACTTAAAAACACTCACAGCATAGAACCTGGCCCTTCAGGGGAGCTGGGGCCCCGAGTTCCAATTTAACTTTCTGTCTGCAAGCTCCCATGCCCAGGCAGGTTGATGGTAAGAGTTTTTGTTCCTCAAGTATGACCAGGCTACTGAAAGCAAAATATGCGTCCAACACAAGTCGTTACACTTTAAGATTTTTCCAGACATAGGAAATTATGCTCCCTTCAAATGCCTGCAATCTGCATCTGTCCAACCTTCAGGACGTGCTGTGGGTGAATTACTTAGTGGCTTTCTAAATCATGCTCAGCCATTGATCAATCATCTATGTCCTGCATGTGTTCTGAACTTCACTCTGGGTTTCCTGTAGGTGGAGCAGCAAAAGATCCCAGGAATCCGTGTTTCCCAGGAATGACAGGATCCCCATCTGCATCTACTGCGTGCTTTAAGTCAAGAATGCCTAAAAAGTATGTGGAAATGGAAACTGAAGGGGAGGGACATGAGAGCAAACTGGCCAACAATTTCTATACTTTTAGGCCCTTGTTCTGGCCTTTGAATTGACCAGACTAATGGTGCCCTCTTGCACAATGCGCTACACTAACCCCATGATCAGCTGCATAATGAATCACGGTGATCCACTGGTTTTTGGAAGTAGATGACCAGGTCTTTCTTCCTAACCCATCTTAAGTCTGGAAGCTCCATTAAAACCTGTTCCACATCATGGCAACACACAAGAAAAGACTCCAATGGACAGATGTGTGGTGGTTGCATATGAGGTACGATACACTGGCTGGGACTCAGCCCAGGTCTCTGAATTCAGCCACGAACAGTGTTACAGCCTTAAGGAAAATTTCTTAGGGAAATAGCTACAGAAGCAGACTGTCCAATGTTTCTCTCACGGATTCAAACCACTACCTTTCCGTTAGCTTAACACCTTAATCACAGTGCCTTTAGAGCTTTTCTCTCCTCCTAGCTGGGACCCAGAAATGCCATACAGGTGCTCCGTGCCTTCTAACGACCCTCACTCAGTCTGGGAGCACCCCACCCCATCCAACTCCAGTTTGAGGAAGAAGCCACAAGACCCAGTATGACCCTGGAGAACCACAGCTAGGGATGTCTTTCGTAAGTGCAGAAACTTGGAGGCTTTCGTCCAATCCAGCACCTGTTAATACTGTTAATACTGTTACTAACCAGGAGCCAACCAGTCACGTGTCTAAGTTACCTGCAGCCAACTGTTTTGTGGTGTGCTTTGGTTCAGTTTTGGGGGGTGGGTGGGGGCAGAGACCTCCAGCAGTTAGAAATGATGGACGCTTCTGAGAGGAGGCACACAAGTCAACACAGGAGTGGTGAGAAAGGAAGCAAGGCATCAGAAGAAGTGTGGGTAGCTGTTAATTGCTCTGCAGGGGGCCAGAGGAAGGGAGCACATAACAGCACATCAGTCCAGGCAGAGTGTGGCTACAGAAAGGACATGCAGGGCATCGGATGGATACTGCCAGTGAGGGTGACTGAGGAGGAAACACCACCCTCTTCCCTCAGCATCACTCAGCCAGGGGGAGCCAGGCCTGGACCCACCCTGATTCCCAAATGCTGAATTCAGAGCTGTCTCCTGATTTCTGTGGGAGCTCCATCCATGGTCTTCATGAAGGGGATGGACGGGGCTGGGGTTAAAAAATCAAAACCCCCAAGCCTTTCATGCTTCAAATTCATTTAAATGTGTTCATACCCACTAGCTAAAATTGGGCCCTCCCCTCGCATCCCACCCTCCAGATGTGCGCCCACATCATACTCTCTTCTGGGAAGGTGGCCGGCAACCCTGGCAGATCAGACAGAGATGCCATCTCAGGCAGGAGGTGGGGGAGGGGTATGAGCACTGTGTTCTGAACCCCCTGGAATCCTGACTTGGGGTCACTCTCCAATCTCCAGTAGGATCTACCTTTGTGGATTCTAGGTCTGACACAAATGTTGGAAACCCAGCCCACCACGACTTGGATGGTTGGAGATTTCTAGAACTCTCAGCCCTTGTCTCTCTCTCTCTCTCCCTCCGTTCTCAACAACCTGGAAGCACTACCTGTACTATCATGGGCGCCAACATCACTCTCTCTGGACTGGGGGAAAAGCCCGTTTCTTCTCAGGGAACAGTTGGTAACTCCGTGTTTGCGCAACTGGTGGCGTTCACAGTTAGATTTGGTAGAAAAGAAGGCATCGCATTTTTGACAAGGGAAAGGCTTCTGACCTGAACGGGAAAAAATATATATATTTATCTGGCTTTCTAATGAAAAAAAAAAAAAAAAAAAAAGTTGCTTTTGATTCAGTTTCCTGTGAGTATTGACGTTTCCCCCTCCTCGTAAGAAGATAAACAAAATACTGTACATTTAAAAACAAAAAACCTTAGAGCACCAAGAATGACAATGATCGTTTTTCCTTATCCTGGCTGGAGTGGATTGTGTTTTTGTCTTCAAAACTTAAAGAAACTTACCACGAAACCAAGGCATAGACTTTCAAGAAGGCTTCAAAAAAGTTCATGGAAAAGTGGGAATTAAAAGATAATGGGATTTTCCCACGAGCTTTCTGAAGCTATTACAATTGAAAAGGTAAGTATCATCAACAACAAGGAATGAAAGTAAGTGTAGGAATTTACACTGGCTAGAAGTAAAAAAAGTGTACTAACAATTCCAAGCATGGCCAACAGTATGGCGTTAAGGGGAATCCACAGGGTTAGAAGAAGCCCTCTGGGTGGGATCTTTACCCCCTACCCCTGGGTATCACCACCACTGGGGAGAAGTCTCCCCACTGAAGTCATGGGCATCTTGGGAACGTAGCACCCCATGCACTGACTGGAAACAGCTGCTTGGGCATGACTCCTTGACCAGTGACCCCCAGCCCAGGTCACTGTGGTCCTAGTCCTTTAAGGCCTGGGGGGAGGAAGCTCCTTGTGGTATTAAAGGTTCTTTAGCCCCTTGCACTAAGCTTCTGCACTGCACTACACTACAAAGTTGATCTGAGCCACAGGCCAGTGGTTCAAATCTACCAGTTGGTACCAACTCGACAGCACTTCACAACAAGCTCTGTGTTGTTTTTGTTGTTGTAAAGTGCTGTCGTGTCAGTTCTGACCCACAGCGACCCTGTATAGGGTTTCCAAGGAGCAGCTGGTGAGCTTGAACAGTCGACCTTGTGGTTCAAACCAACTTTGCAGTCCAGCTCATTAACCCACAGCGCCACCCCAGGACTCCCAACAAGTTGCTGCAAGGCAGTAACTACATGAACAGAGACGATACTCCAGGCCTGCCTTAGATGGCAAGCACCCCCACTGGGAACCGGAGGGCTGGGGGTGGGGGCCTTGCTGTAGCCCACCCCCACCCCCTCTCTTACTGTTCTCCAAACTCCATAAATGGGGTAAGCCCAGGAAAAAGCCCCCGCCCCATCCTGCCTGCGTCCTGGGGCTTGGTCTGTTTATCCTCTCCTCTTATTTGGCTTCTTTCTGTACTGTAAACACGATGTTTCAAAATGCAAGCAAGACTCCCTTCAATTTGCCTGGGTCTGCCTGGATGGCCATGAGAGGAAAACAGAGCAAGGGCAAAGGGCACAGAGACTGAGAGGGCTGGGGTGGTGCCGTGCTGGGTAATTGTTTACAGGGTCACCAGGCTCCTCGTTTGTCCCCCATCACTAGATCCTAGGCTTCTCCTTCCCACCTGCGCAGGAGAAAGGTTTCAGGTATTAACACACATGACTCTCCAGCTGTGGCCAAACTTTGGGATTGCCCTGGTCAAACACTTCTCAGAGAGCTGGTGCTCCCGTCCCCGACACAGGAGCCTTACCTTGGAGCAGGGGCAGAGAGCCCTGGGCCAGGGAACAGAGCCGGCATGTCAGAGGGTTAGCCCCACCACCGTGGGTCTTCTGGGGGCAAGGTTAGCACAGCTGCACCACACAACTCCAGGGGGCGTTGTTCACACAGAGTGCAACTTAGTACCCCCAGCTCTGCCATGGATGTCATAAAAGGTACCCGTGGGGCTTTTAAGGAATCTGATGTCAGAGACAATCACAGAGCAGAGACTCGGGGAGCTATAAAGATGTTCCATGATAGACCCTAAAGCTCCACAGTGCCTGAGAATCCACCCCCTCTTCTTTACCAAGCTCATGAGGGGCTTTCTGCTACCATGATTTAAAAATTCCTTTCATTTAAGAATTTAAGCTGAATTTTTAAAAAGTAAACATTATGCGTTTGCATGAAGACTAGCAGTGAAAGAATTTAACCTTTACTGTGGTGGTGGTGGTGACGTGTCATGGAGACATCTTTCAAATTACTTCTCACTCTCCACTAAATCGTATACACAATATTTAACGGTCCTTTGGCGTCATTTTAATTAAGAAAACAATGCTTTCCCTTCTGAACACTGTCTCACAAAAGGCAACATCAGGGCTTTTCCACATAATGCAAGACTGAGCAGAGAGAGGCAGGCAAAGTGGAGAATAAGTCAGAAGCCATGATGACCGGATCCTGGATTTCAAAGGAAACTGCTTTCTTGCTCCTGCAGTCTATTACAACTGCCACACTGGGAAAGGCTGAACCTGTACAGTTGGTATGGACAGACTGATGCCCTACAATGAAGTCTGTTGTTGTCAAAGTGACCCCAGGTGACAAGGCAGAACTGCCCCATAGGGTCTCCTGCAATCTTCTTAAGAGTTGCTCGGTGGATTCTAGCCACCAACCTTTGGTAGCAGCTAAGTGCTTAACCACTGCACTACCAGGACTCTTACAATAAAGGTTACTCATGCTAACTTCAGAAAACAATTCAATGACAACCAAGCAATGCATTAGTTATAGAGATTCCCAAAGCAACAAGGAACACAGAATTATTTTAAAGTTCTCATTTCACTGCCCCGGACTTAATTTTTAAATAGCATTATGCTTGCTTATGAGTCCTGGTGGTGCTGTGGGTTAAGCATTGGGCTGTTAGCCACAAGGTCGGCAGTTCAAAGCCCCCAGTTGCTCCTCAGGAGAAAGAAACTCCCATAAAGATTTATAGTCTCGGGACCTCTCGGGAGCAGTTCTACTCTGTCCTGTATAGTCGCTATGAGTTGGAATGGATTGGATAACAATGAGTTTGGCTTGGTTTTCTTTAGTATGTTCACTGGTTACAAGAACATAGAGACACTTAAGGCTTTTCGTATTTTATAGTATTACAGGCATCAAAAAACTTTCGTTGATCATACTGATTTGGTAATCGCCACAAAGCCCTGCTTGGCAGGAGTGTTGTTAAAGTACCTGCAACTACAAGGCTCTACCTTTGCTCCCAAGACTCTGACCTGTTCCCTGTGGGCATTAGCCAATTCTCTCACAGAAGAGCTAAGTAATGAAGGTAGAGTTTGATACTCAGATCTGCAGTCTGGCAGACAGTGGTTATTAGAGACAAAAGTGAACCGTAAGTCTGATGAACCTGAAGACCAGCTACGAGAAATACACAAAAGGACAAATAGTGTATGATTCGACTTATATGAAATAAAGTAGGTTACAGACCCCCAGGGCCTGGAGGGAGGAGAGGATGGGAGCTGATGATTAAAGGGCACTCGGTTTCTGTTTGGGGTGGTGAAGAAGATCTGGAAATATGTAGCAACAATGGTTTACAATATGGTGCCACTGAATTGTATGCTCAGAAATGGTCAAAATGGTAAATTTTGTGATATTCGAGGGAGCTTTACAAAGCTCATGGAAAAGTTCCACTATCTTTTCATTCTATTTGTACATGGAATTTGTACATTTGTTCATTCTGTTTGAAGCCCCCTGGACTATTTTACCATAATAAAAGATCAGGAGGACCATATACACACATGGGTGTGCAGATGCACACACACACACACACACACACACACAGAGGAGTGTGACGATGCAATAGTGATCTTGCGCTCAGACCCATCATCAGAAGGATCAGGAAACCAGAACTGGCCATGTTTTTAAAGTTGTTTTCAATTTTTTAGTGAGCATCAGGGTTAGAAGAGCTGTAATTAGGGAGAAAAGCCTTTCAGCTGCCTTTAATACAGAGATGAAGTGGCTTCTGACCCTCAGATACCTCTCCATGGATGGCCCCCACCCTCGAGGGGCTCCTCCTGTGCATGGCACATGTGGGGCTGCGCGGCAGCGGCCAAATACAACTGCTATCACAAGTGCTTTCCACACTGAGGTTTGGAAATCTTACTGGTTTTCATTCTGATGCTTGGAAGATGGAGAGAGACCTAAGCTGGCAAAGAGCAGGGAATTAAACCGTGAGAAACGTGAGGGGGTGGGGGATCCCAGGGTGTGGTAAAAGTGTGGGACCGCCACAGTCCCAGCCCCTTGTGAGGAGGAAGCAGAGAAAGGAGGGAGCCAAGAACAGAGGCTGGATGGCAGTGGCATTCTCTCCTTCATTGTGCCCTGCAATCCCAGGAGGTGCTGGGGTGGGGGAGAAGGGCAGCACGAGGCTAGCTCCTCAAGTGTGGACACTGTTCAGGCAGAGAGAGGAGGGACCAGGAACTGTTCCTGCTCACCAGGAAATGCTGGGTAAGAAGGAGGCCAGCAGTGGAAGAGGAAATTCAGCAGCGAGTTGTTATGTGCTGTGAAGTCCCCGTGGAGTCGGTTCTGACTCATAATGACCCTGCACAGGGTTTCCGAGGCTGGAAATCTTTACGGGAGCAGAAAGCCTCATCCTTCTCCCGTGGCACAACTAGTGGTTTCAAACTGCTGACCCTGAGATAGCAAATTGATTTGTAAGCACTATGCTACCGGAGCAGCGAGTAGAGGGCTACAAAAAATGACAGTAGACTTCCAACTTCCCCATTCAAACACAATTCCTGGAACCACGTACTCCAGGCCCTCAGCATGCAGGCGGTGCTGCCTCTCCTGGGGGGTGGGTGTGGTGGGGCCATGTCAGTGAGACAAAGCACAGACATCACATGGGTGCCATGCATTGGTGGAGGGGCCAGGAGCAGGCCCACTCTGCAGACACAGACTTGTAACTTCAGTGTAATCTCAACTGAGGCCACTCAAAGCCTCTGACAGAACCCAACTAGATTTGAATACTCCAATTTAAACAGACTACCTGTTCCTTATGTGACACCTTTGTTGACAGGGAAGTTTCAAAGTTGATGTTTAATTTCTGTCCTCTTCAATGTACGCCTAGGGTCCCTGGGTGGCGCACACAGTCTGCGCTCAGCTACTACTAACCTAAGGGTTCCAATCTACCCCGTGGTGACTCGCAAAAAAAAAAAAAAAAAGGACTGGAGATTTGTTTCTGGAAAGATTACAACCCCAAAAACCAGAGGAAGCAGTTCTACTCTATAATATACAGGGTCACCTTGAGTTGGGGTCAACTAGATGGTGATAGGCTTTGGGTTTAAATGTACACCCTAAGCCTTTTATCAAAGCTTCTGGAGGCAGCATTTCCCAGAGGACTGGGGAGCAGAACATTCAGCTCCAAGATCCTCCAACAGCAGAGCTTCCCATCAGGAAAGTGTTAGGTCTGCATAGTCCCAACACGGGATGAATGGAATGTTCCAAAGAGAACCAAGCACCTTGGCCAAGTGACTTATACACCAGTTGGCGATGAGCTGACTCCCACTCATGGGGACCCATGTGTGCTAGAGTGGAAGCAAGCTCCAGAGGGTTTGCAGTGGCCCATTTTCCAGAAGCGGATCACCCAGTCTTTCTTCAAAAGGTGCCACTGAGTGAACCCAAACTGTAGACCTTGAGGTTAGCTGAGCACAGCAGCTGTTTGTACCATTCAGGGACTAAGTGCTTTACAACATGATTTAATAAAGATGATACTGAGATTGTTCTTGGAAGCAAATACAGTGACATCCAAACACACAAAGGTGTGAGCACAGTCTTAAGCCAACATTTATGACATCACTGGTGGGCCGTACAAAATTATCAACTTAAAAATAGCCTGCTATATTTGGTCAAACATTTAATTAACTCACCCCTAATGTGCTGGCCGGAACCGCGGTTGCCATGGCAGGACCAGATGCTCACCGTCCCTGGTCTACTGGGTGCAAACTTTATATGGTTGTTACACATATAATTAACAAAAGTCATTACTAGGAACCTAACTAATACTCTGCGTAGATTTGTGTTGGACTCTTATCTCAAACCACTTTCAAGTCTGCTGCATGTAAGACATGTCAGAACCCAGTCAGGAAGATGAAAGCATGCTCTATAGACATGCACCCTGACCCTGGGCTTGCTGCAGGGGGGTTAGCCCTGGCTTTGACTTTAATTCTACCTCTTATTTCTCACATGATGGTAGGCAAGTGGCCTCAATTTCCTCCTGGAAAAATGGAAACAACATCACTCTCATTGACAAGGTCCTAAAAGACTTACTAGTATAAAGCCCCCAGAATAAGAACATCTATGATAGGATGCATTTACAAACTTCCTTCCTTCTTGCTCTGTTTCTGACCCTGCCAAATTTTAAACCGCTGTAGGATAAGCACTGGACGGCAAACTACAAGGTCAGCAGTTCAAACCCACCAGCTGCTCCTTGGAAACCCTATACAAGGTTGCTATGAGTTCGAACTGACTTGATCACACGTAACAACACTAACACGACATTTTGGCATCAAATGCCGGGCAATCACAACTAACGGGTTCCCAAGTAGGAACAGACACCAGGCATCTGCAAAGACTCGGGCACAGCTCTTTAAGCAAGCACGGGCCACTCCCCTCAACTGAGGGAGACAGGAAAACATCCAAGAACAAACACCCTCATCCAAGGAACCCGCGCAGAGTATTACCCAGACAGGGACTCAGAACTGAGTAAGGTGGATGGTGAGAGGTGAGTTGTGAGGAAGGACAACAGCTAGGCTAATAATTAGATGCAGACCATCTGCCTTTTGAAAAGTAGGAACAGAAATACTCCTCCACAGATGCTCTGCTGGGACAGAGATGAGATGTCACCCAAAGGGGCAACCCCTCTTTCAACTTTGTCTTCTCTTCTGAACCTTCAGTAGAACGACTATTTTGCTCTCTTAGGAGCAAATGATTTCAAAGGCAAAGAGAAAGATGGCCTGTGAATGCAGTGTAAGCTTTATGAATCGAGAAATCCTGGCTCTAGTTAAAGGAGCCCTGCAAAGCCTGACACTGCTTAGTCACTCCTGCCTTCTGCTCCTCAATTCCTGGGCTCCAGGTCCCAGCCCTCCATCAAGGATGGTTGGCAACTCATGTGGCCAGGACAACTTCAGGAGATTCCAACTTCCTACCCACAACTCCACAGTGGCTCTCATTTCCGGAATCTCCTCAGTGTGTCTCTGGCTCCCAAAGGACAGTCACACGACCCTCTTCACACCATTCTCCCTTGTTCTGAGCTTCTTCAGAGACTCATGTTGTTGTTGTTAAGTGCCATCGAGTCGATCCCGACCCATAGCGACTCTATATAGGGTTTCTGAGGAGCAGCTAGTAAGCTTGAACCGCTGACCTTGCAATTCAAACGGCTTTGCAGTCTGGTGCATTAATCCACAGTGCCACACCAGGACTTCTAGGGGTGTTTAATTCTCGATTAGCGTCTCCACCAAGTACAGAGCCCCCTCAGTCCCTCTCCCCTCTCCATACTGCATAAACCTTGGGGTGCTAAACTCAGCAAGTCAAAGTACAGGATGTCCAAACAAATCTGAACTTCAGATAAACCAGGAATCAGTTTTTAGAATAGGTATATACAAGGAGGCTTCAAAAAGTTCATGAAAAATTTCATTATCTTTTCATTCCATTTTTCCATTAACTTTTTGAGGTCCCCTCAGATGTACCTCTCACTGGTGATCTGCCTCTGTAAAGATTACAGCCAAGAAAATGCTATGGACCAGTTCTGCTCTGCACCATACGGGGCTGCCAGGAGCTGGAATTTCTAATGCAACCACAGGGGTGTGGCTTTGGGTTTTCAATATCCCAAATATTGTGTGGAAAATACTTAGCTAAAACCCACCCGCTGCTTATCTGAAATGCAAACTGCACTCTGAGTACTCTGCATTTTATTTAGTAACCTTGCACAACACAGAATTCTTAGTTCAGTTTTGTTGTTGTTGTTGTTAAGTGCCATCGAGTCGGTTCCGACCCATAGCGACCCTGTACAGGGTTTCTGAGGGTGTAAATCTTTACGGGAGTAGAAAGCCTCATCTTTCTCCTGCGGAGCGGCTGGTAGTTTCGAACCGCTGATCTTAAGGTTCGCAGCCCGATTCGTAACCACTACACTACCAGAGCTCCATTAGTTCAGTTTTAGGATCCATTAATATTTTGGTTGCAAACTCCAGAAAGGTAAGCATTTACCCAATTTACTCTTAGTTCAATGATACTAATCGTGTGTGACTATTAAGTAGACTGTAATTAAAATAAGAGTTGTATTTATATTTGAATATTAGAAAGTACCTGGTTATAAAACCCTTTAAAATTTTTCTTTAAAAGTCAACTTATATAGTGACTTGGATTGGTCTCTGCAAAAATCAACTTGCATAAACTAACATTAAAAAAAGTAAACTGCTTGTGAAATAGCTTGCTGGAAATTTGACACTGCTATTTAAATATTACTTAGATTTCGATGTTTCCCTAGAGCAGCTGACAATTTTTTTGCCTAAGTATAATTGAATAAAGCCCTATCACAATTCACAAGGAAGACTAGACTGCCTTGGTAAACTGGCATCACTACACACATGATCCCTTAAAAAAAAACAAAAACAAACAAACAAAAAACGGACAGCCCAAACAATGTCACAGAACGTTCAAGTGTAGCAAGGTGCACTGAGGACGCCAGGATGCACCCTCTCCCACCCATGTACTTGTTGTTCGTGCTCTAACACTCTCCTGGAATCAGAAGGCAGCCCCTTCTCAAGGTAGGGCCCAAGGGCCAACAGACACCAGGGATTCCAGCTGGTGTACACTCACGATCACTAACACACCTGCTCTGCTAATACCTTGCTTCATGGGCAGCTATGCTTGGAGGGCTCAGACATAGGACAAGAGGTCATGCTAGTAAATGACCGGCTTAAAAAGGTCACTCAGTTTACTGAGAGTGCACAGGGGATAACCACAGCATCACCAAACTGGGAAGAGAGAAGGCAGGGAGGACTGTGGGATCCCACCCCTCAGCCTCTCCCATTACCCACTGTGCAGAACCCTGCCAGAGAGCAGCTTCTTACCTGTGTGCGTGAGCATGTGCCTCTGCAGGGAGCTGGCCCACGGAAAGACCCGGGGGCAGTGCGGGCAGCTGATCCTTTGCAGGCAGTTGGCATAGGAGTTCCGCCTGGCCCTCAGCCCCTTGTCCTCTGGGGGGCTGGCCTGCTCCTCGTCACTGGGACCGTGGGCATCAGCCGGGGCTGAGGGCGCCTCCTCCTGTATCTCATCCTCAGTGTTCTGCAGGAACGGACTGAACTTGTTGGTGTCGGTGGTGGCCAGCATCTTCTCAATGCTGGCAAACTCCCCGCTGGAGTCGAGGTCCACACCACCACTGGTGACCTTGGACCGGCCCCTCGTCCCTTTCTTCCGGCCCCTCTTCTTGGATGTGCCAGCAGGTCCCTGCTCGGTGGGAGAGGTGGTCTCAGGGCTGGTGGTTGTTGGGGGTAGGTCCCCAGATTCTTGCGGGCTTGTGGTGTCCACAGGGGTGTGGGCAGTTTTGGGCACGGCACCTCCCAAAGTTTCGGGACCTGCGGGGCCACTGCTGGTGCTGGCAGGCCCTGGCTCGGCCACCTTGGTCTTCAGCAGGGTGGGGGCTGAGGACACAGAAGAGATGATCTGAGCGATGGAGGCCAGCGGGGGCAGCTCCTCGGTCACAGGGGGCTTTGGCAAGAGCAGGGGTGGCTTGGGGCGCAATGGCCGCAACAGGGATGAGCTGCTGATGAGAGCTGAGTTGCTGAGAAGGGTGGGGCTGCCCAGGAGCGGAGAGCTGTTCACGACAGCTGAGGAGTAAAAGGGGACCGCGAGTTGCACAGGTCCCTGGAGGGCCTGAGCATGGGGTTCCCGGGGAGGCACTGTTGAGGCAGATGGGGCCGTGGGCTTGTCCGTGCCACCATTGGGCCCAAACACCCCTGGCGTGGTAGGGCACAGGGGTGGACAGACCAGTGATTTCTCGCCATCTTGGGGGTCCTGCTCAGACTTCCCGGCCTCGCTGGGAACATCTGTGTCCTTGTCTCCTCTCCGGGGGTTCTTCGGGATGGAGAGGTCAATAGGTTCCATGGAACAGTCGTAGGGGGCCAGGGAGGAGGGGCTGAGGAAAGAGGCTGCGTTTTCCTGTTTCACGTGGACCAGGCCCAGGCCCTTCTGGGAGAAGTCAAGGGGCTCATTAAAGTCCACTGCAAAGCCGCTGGTGGGTTCCAGCTTGACGGAGACGTGGGGGGCTGGTACAGGACCCCCGTGCAGAAAGCCGTTCTGGGCCTCCAGGAAGGCTGTGATGGGCTTGCGGTCCACAAAGGCACCACAGCCACCCTCCTCCACCATGCCGGTGGCCTCTGCTATGGGCCCGTCCGCAGGGACGCCCCCATCAGCAGCCAGGACGTAGCTCTCGATCTCGTGTTCGGGTACATGCAGGTGCTGCTTGAGGATGTGGTGGATGCAGTTGCGCTTGGCTGCAAAGGATGAGCTGCACTCCTTGCACTCGAAAGGTTTGCGGCCCTTGTGGCAGCCTCCCAGGCCACGGCCGCAGTGGGTCCGCATGTGGATACGCAGCGCCCGGTAGTGTTTGAGGTCCTCACCGCACAGCCGGCATATGGTATCTGGGGTGCAGAAGGCTTCCACCATCTCAGCAGCGCTGCTGGTCACATACTCGATGTTCTTCTCGATGTCCTTGCGGGTGGCCTTGAGATGCTTCTTGCGCAGGTGCCGCTCGCAGTTGGCCTTGACAGTGAAGGGGTAGTGGCAGATCTTGCAGATATAGGGCCGCTCCCCGCTGTGTGTGCGCAGGTGGCGGATGAGGGCAGCCTTGTCGGCAGCAATGTAGTCGCAGATGTTGCACTGGTATGGCGAGATGCCCAGGTGGGAGCGCACGTGGGCGCGCAGCACCCCTGAGAAGGCGAACACCTGGTTGCAGAAGCGGCAGGGGTACAGGACCTTGCGCATGGCGGGTGCCTTCTTGCCGGCAGGCCCTGCCATGAGTGCCTTGAGGTCGCCTTCTGTGATTTCCTGCTTGATCTTGGCCTCCATGCTCAAGGGCAGCAGCGCCTCGATGATGCTGTCTTGCTCCAGCTGCGTCTTCATCTCGGGCTGACCTGGCAGCTCGGCACGGGGCTGCAGGAAGAGCTGGGTGGAGGCATTGGCCTGGGCCCTGGACTTGGACTGCAACAGGTGGGCATTGGAGGTGGCCTCCACCGAGCCCTTGAGCATCTTGAGCGGTGGAGGGGGCAGGCTGGGGCTGATGCAGCCTGGGGAGGCCTGCTGGGCATTGACGAGGGGCGGGGGTGTGGAAGTGGCTACCACCGTGCGGGGTGTAACCAGGGGCTTTGGCTTCAGCGGGGGCATGTGCTTGAAGATGGTCTGCATGGGGGAGGCTGGGGCCTTGGAGAGGGGCGGAAGGCTGATCTGGGGGGGCGCCGAGGAGGCCATCTTCAGGATCTGCTGGATGTCGGCCAGCTCGATGGCTGACTCGCTGGAGATGGGCTTGACCACAATACTGCTATCGGGCTGGATGATGAAACCCTTCTGGAAAGGTTGCAGGGACAGATGTTTCATGCTCTCCTTGGTGGCGGGGAGGATGGTGAGCTGGTTTCCCAGGGAGGTGGCCTCAAAAGGGGGTAGACTCAGCAGGCTGGTGCAGGCAGGCTCCTGAGGTAGCTGGCACTTGAGTGTCTCGAGCTGGATGGCTTGGTTGTCATCCGGCGGCGGGTCCTCAGCTAGGGTGGGCTTTGCGTCTTTGGTGTGTTGCAGGCCCAGGAAGGCCAGGAAGACCTTTTGATCGAGTGTGTCCCCATCCAGGGGCTTGGCTTGCGGTTTCTCTCCCCCCGGATCCCCGGTGCCATGGGTCTGCCGGTGCAGGGTGAGTGAGAGGGGCATGGGGAATGCCTTGTCGCATGTCTCACAGACAAAGCGGTGCTGCTCGCTGATGCACCGCCGCAGATTCGCTTCACACCAGGCCTGCACCAGAATCCAGGAGAAAGGAAAGCATTAAAAACCAGAGAGCCGAGATGCCCACAGCACCCACCATACAACTTCTTACTGTGACCCCTGCTTGCTAACCTCCAGACTTGGCTTACTCTGAGTAAGTCAGTCCGCTGCAGAAGGACACATCGTGTACGATCTCACTAACATGAACTATCTAGCCAAGGGAAGCGTATAGAAACCAAAGTTAATAGCAGATCCCAGGAGTGGAAAGCTATTGTTTAGGGGCACTGAGTTTCTGTTATACGTGATGAAAAAATTTGAAAAAGGATAGTGGTGCTGGATGTATAACACAGTCAAAGTGTACCATGTCACCGAATTATACATTTAAAAAAAGAATGAATGGGTAAATGTTTTGTTGTCTATGAAAAGGCTTTAAAAAGTTGGTGATTAATGGAATTAAAATATAATAGAAGAATTGTAGATGCTTGGAAACAGTTAGTTCAATGAACTAACGAAACGTGAACATCAGTCTCCACGACTCTGAGACCAGAGGAACTAGATGGTGCCCAGCTGCCTACAACCAACCGTTCTGAAAGGGATCAAATGAGAAGGCTCCAGTAGAATGGTGGGAAATGTGGCATAAGACTCAAAATTATTATTAAGAAAAAAAAAAAAAAAAGATTGGCCTTACTGGTCAGAAAGAAACTGGAAGAACCGGAGACTACACCCCTCAACAATGCTTTTGGTCTGGAAATGAACTCAATCTTGTGGCCAAAATTTCAGTCAAACAGTAGAGAGGTTCATGGGGCAGGAGCACATTAGTAAGGTATGCTCACTAGGGAATTTCGGTCAATCATTCAAAATCAAAAGGGCACCATCTGCCTAAGGACACAGTTGAGAAGGGATGGGACGGTGGGTGGAATAGATAGGAACCACAGGGATAAAGATGGATAAATATTGTTGCATGGAAAAGATTGCCATCATTGGGGTAAAACAAAGCGTCTGATTGGTTTAATGTAAAACTGGTGTTCTTGTCTGTAAACCTTTATTCAATTCACAATAAAAACATTAAAAACTAAAATCACATTTGTTTGATGGATAACATTAATCCCTAGGGGAAGCAATGAGCCACAGGTAAGCAATAATTCCATGAAGGTAGCATTAGTTAATCCTCTTTTTAAAAAGGAAAACCATGCAAAGCTAATGGAAGGTGACACAGATGGTGGCGTGAGAACTGCCTAGGAGGGGCATCAGGGCGTCTTCAGGTGTCGGGGCATTCCTTCTCTACCGTCCTCTGGGCAGTTACACAGGTGCATGTGTATGCAGTAAACCAGAGCTCGAGACATTCACACCCCAGAACTTTACTATCGATAACAGCATATCTCAATTTTTAAAAAATAAACCAAGAAGAGCCCTAGTGGCACAGTAGGTTAAATGCTGGGCTGCTAACCAAAAAGTTCAGTGGTTCAAATCCACCAGCAGTTCCGAGGGAGAAAGATGAGGCAGTTTGCCTCTGCAAAAACTTGTCTCGGAAACCCTATGGAGCACTTCTACTCTGTGCTACAAAGTGGCCGAGAGTCAGAGACTCGATGAGATGGGTTATAAACAGAGAACAAGTAAGTTCTCTTCCTATTCAGATATATGATGACCTGTCATTTTCAGTAGAAGCTACAATGCTGGAAACATCTAGCTATGATGTGAACTTTAAGGTCCCTGGGTGATACACACCATTTACCCTCAGTTAAGAACTAAAATGTTGGCAGTTCGGAACCACATAGCAGTGGTGTGGAGGAAAGACCTGGAAAGCTGCCTCCCCAGAAAGAAATCTGTGGAGCAGCTGTACACATCTGGAGGGGAGAAACACCTGGGGCTCTCATGGTGGAAGTGACTCAACAGCAATAGGAGTTTTTGTGTGTGTTTTCTGAATGCAGACGTTAAATTACAAATTCCAGCCAAGATAGGGCTGCCATGGCAGTGGGGAATGATTCACAACTTTAAATCCAACCAAATTCCCCAAGGACACACAAAAGGCATTGATGATACAAACTCATACCCACATCAACACGAGATTCAACACAAAATCAAAGACCACCCATCCCTCTCAAACCAACGATCAAACAAAGGCTGGGAGGGGTCACGCTGAATTTTAAGAGAAAACACAACACTGAACAGACATTTTAAGGAAAGGGAGTTCAGTGTAAGGACAAAGACTGGGGAGCTCTAAATACCTGAGAAATTCGGGGAAACTTCCTACAGGAGAAGTCGGTGAATCCCAAGTCATGGAAGCCAGCAGGAATGAGAGGGTTGTTCTGTATGAATGGCCTCCCCATCGCGTCTCTCGGAAGCTGTTTGTGGACAAGTGCATTGTGGCGCAGCAATCCTCGATGTGTCCGAAAGGTGACGCAGCAAATGTCACATCTAAGGACAGGCAGAAGATAACACAGAAGGCAGCAGTTAGAGCTTCCAGGCATTTTAGTCACTTTATCTCAATTCAAAAAAATAATGGTGACAGGACATCAAGAAGCCAGCCTGATCACAGTTAGTGCTAAAAAAAGCTAACCTTTCCTTAAATAAATAAATAAAATTTACATCCTATTAAACTTCTGGTATAAAATATTTATAGGCAGTTCAGTATGTAAAAATGGCCTGACCATCAGGAGTACACATGTAGGACTGTCTGGCTGTTTGAATTTCAGGCAAGCTCTTTGCTGTGGAGGCATTAAGTCAAGAAAAGTAAGCTCATCGGGGGAAACTCCCTTCTAGGACTTAAACTTAAAAGTAATCATGAGCAGTCTAGCATGCTCACTGGTGACCACCTGGGTTTACTCATGCATGGAAGTGGGGGAAACTCAGCAAGGAAGACATAGGCTGAGTTTGACCACACTCCACTGACACCCGCTGACCTTGAGATGAAAGAGAAGAGGAAGGACTAGCTGGTCTGAAGTTATGAAACATTCGTGAACTCCTGAGCTCATGGGTAGCCCCTGGGGGGTAGGGCTGAGAGTCAAGTGGCCAGCTGGTCTGCAGTGCAGGAACGTGTGTGTGAACTCCCAAATCTGCAGCTAGTACCCATCTGACTTAGCCTGGATGGCCAGCTGACCAGAACTTGAACAGAGGGAGATACAGATGTTTGATAACTTGACAAGTGTAAACTGCTACAAGCTGATGAACTAGACTTTTGCTTATGGATGCAGTTGCTCAAAATTTGAACTGGAATGGAAAGATTCTTCATATTAAGGTACAAGCTTATTTCCTCAGTGTACTGGGTTGACAAGGATGGACAATCTAGATATTGGCTATCAAAAATGGGGGGTTATAAAGTTATGAAGTGGCTGGCTTATAAACTTTCATGAGTGTGCTTAGTTTCAGAATGAGGGGGTTAAGGCAGAGTCCCCCCTGACTAGTCTTCCTCTTTTCCAGATGGATCTGGTGAAAGGGGCTGGGGGATGATGGTTATAGGAATTTATGATTCAATTGTGAGTAATTGTTAGCAGGACTGAGATGGTCACAACTGTAATTGTAGAAGATGTGTAGCTAAAAGCAGGGAGTAGTTACTCTTTCATTTCAGGAACAGACAATCTCAGGACCATCAAGGAGGAAAGAGCATGAGTGGAGCGTGAGATCCCTACCTAGAAAAACGGCAACAGCAGAGACGGTGGCAGAGGTGATGGCATGGAGAGCGCAGCTGCAGGCTCTAGGCCCATAGACTGAGAAAGGCTGTGTGCCTGTGGGCAAGAGGCTGGCTTGCAGAATATGTCCTTAGGATATTTAAATAAATATATATTTTTTGTTTTGTATATGTGCATCAAAAATTTTTGCTTTGTTCATTTGTGCAATCAATGTAAGATGCAAAAGGGAAGGCCCAGGGAGGAAGCAGGGTAACTTGTTGCAGGGAAGGGATTGTAATGATTAAGATGAAACAAAGCATGTAATTTGTTGAATGTAAAACTGATGATCTTATCTGTAAAACCTTCACACAATTCACCATAAAAAGGTTTTTAAAAAAGGATGAGAAGTTGAAGGATGAGAAGCTGCTCAGAGTCACACAATTTAAAGTCTTTGTTTCAGGGCTTTCTCACAGCATCAGCCCATTGGAGCCTAGTTATTCTCAGTGTTTAAAACTCAAAAAAGCATACACACACCAACATCTAGAGCAATCAGGTCAGCATCTCCAGCAACACAAGGGGGTAAAATGGCAATTCTCCAAGCAGGTCAGTAGCATGTGACAGAGCATGTGACGTATGGACTTCTGATATTACTACCATCCTTATCTGAAAAGTCAGAGACTCCCATTTATCAAGCACGGACTCTGCAGGTACGGCCCACACAGCTGTTCTGACAGGCAGGCACTAGCATTATTACCATTTTATAGACGAAAACACTGAGGTTCAAAACTGTGAAGCAAAGTGACCAAGGTCGCATAGACATAAAGAATTAAAAAACAAGTGAGAGATGAGGCCTAGTCGACTTCCATGGTTTTCCTGCCCACACCGACCATGAATGACTCTCAAAGATGGAAATTTACTAATCCTCTCCTATCCATGCAAAAACTGTACACTGAATAAGGAAGACAGAAGAATTGATGCTTTTGAATTATGATGTTGGCAAAGAATACTGAATATACACCATGGACTGCCAGAAGAACTAACATTTGTGTCTTGAAAGATGTACAGCCAGAATGATCCTTAGATGCCAGGATGGTAAGACTTTATCTCAGGAACTTTGGACGTGTTATTGGGAATGACCAGTTATCCTTGGTAAACACTGTCTAGGCTTGTGCCACTCCCAAAACTGCTGTTTTGTTTGATTCCATTAATTGCCATCACTTTGTGAATCCAACTCATTGAGGGGATCTTCCTAGTTTTTACTTACCTGATACACCAAATTTGATGCCCTTCTCCAGGGACTGGTCCCTCCTGATAACATGTTCTAACGTGCATGAGGCAGTCTCGCCAGCCTCGCCAGCCTCGCTTCTAAGAAGCATTCTGGCAGTACTTCTTCCAAGACAGATTTCGTTGTTCCTCTGGCAGTCTATGATATGCATATTCAATATTCTCCACTAATACCAAACTCCAAAGGCATCAATTCCTTAATACAGTGCCCAGCTTTCACATGCATATGAGACTAATGAAAATGCCATGACTTGGGCCAGGCCTTAGACCTTAGACCTCAAAGTGACCTCTCTGCCCTTTAAAACTTTAGAGAGACCTTTGCAGTAGAGCTGCCCAGTGCAATATATCATTTGATTTCTTGACCGCTGCTGCCATCAACAAGGATTGTGGATCCAAGTAAAATGAAATCCTTGACAACTTCAACCTTTTCTCCACTCATCATGTTGTTCAATGCTTCAGTTGAGGAGTTTGTTTTGTTTTTTACGTTGAGCTGTTAATTCACATTAAAAGCTGTATGCAGTCTTTGATCTGCTTCACCAAGTGCTTCAAGACCTCTTTGCTGTCAACAAATAAGGTTGTGTCATCTGTACACCACAGGTGGCTAACGAGTCTGTCTCCAATCCTGATGCTAGGTTTTTCATACAGTTCAGCTTCTGGGTTATTTGTTTAGCATACATTAGCCCCATGGAGTGATTTCAGTTTAAATGAATGAAAATTCCTTAGTTCACAATTCCGGCAGTGCACTTCTATTGCAGAAACTTCTATTGGATCTACCTGGACTCATAAACTAATTACTGATAGCTTGCTGTATGCAGAACTTCATTCCCGGTAGTTACACATACAGATGTGTCTGACCCTCAACAGCCCTCTAGAGTAGGAACTATTGTTTCACAGAACTAGAACCTGAGGCACACAGAGGGGCAAAGCCATTTGTTTGTGCTGGGAACTTTTTTGCATTGGAATTCTCTAGAAATCAAGAGGTGACAATATCACCCATGAACTCCTGAGCCTGTCTCCATTAAGACTGAAAGCACCAAGTGCCAAGAACTCTCACTGTGGTGGCTTTACTTATCACGCTGGGACAGGGCACAGCGGAGAACTGTCCTGATGTACATTACCCGCCTAGCTCCACTGTTACCATCAACCCATCAAAATGCCAGTTCCCACCAGGGAGTTCTGCGTAGTCTACCAACTAGGGCCCAAGTTTCAGATAAGGGATGCACCAGTAAGCCAGAGCACCTCCAGGGCAGCTGACAGTTCAATGGGAGAGTCCCCACCTTCCATGCGGGTGGACCAGGGTTTGACTCTCAGCTAGTGCACCTCCTGGGCAGCCACCGCCTCTGTCAAAGGGGGCTTGCATGCCGCTATGATGCTGAGCAGGTTTCAGTGAAGTTTCCAGACTAAGAGACTAGGAAGAAAAGCCTGGTGATCTACTGAAAATAAGCCAACGAAAATGCTATGGATCCCAGTGTTCTGATCTGCAACCCACCATGGGGATGGCCCAGGTCCTGGTAGTGCTTTGTTCCACTGCGGATGGGATTGGTCATAGAACGGAGCCAACTAGACAGCGGCTAACAATAACAAATCCTGTCAGTTCTTATAGCCCTGTGTTCAGACATTAACTCCTTCTCCTTGCCCATGTCCCTGGCAACCCCTCATGTCATCAGAGTGACCATCTCGCCCTGCTTGTCCTGTCAGAACTGTATCCAGAGGTGAGGGTCAGAAAGCCGGGGAGAGGGAAGTTAGTCTGTGCCTCCCCTTAAGGGTGAAAATAGGACAAAGTGGGACAGTGTATGCAGAGAGTGGGAACCTGTCACCCAGAAAGGCCAACGGGCATTTTCCAATTGCATCAACAATGCCCACTCCTCCTGAAATAACAACCGGCATTTAGCACACACTGCGGGTGAAGCATTCGCTGAGTGTTTTGAATAGATTTTCACTGTTACGGGGACTGCCCTTGGTGTGGGGACCTCAAGACAGACACCTAAGCTCCTGTCACTGTGACGATTTAGGAACTGAGTGTGGTCAGTGAATCACCCCAGAGTTGAACATATGTTCTTGGCGTACCTTGCCCTCTGTACATTCAGTCCAAGTAAGCTTTGCAGATAGGATGGGAACTGGTCAGTTATAGGTTGTTATTGTTGTTCAGTGCCGTTGAGTTAGTTCCGACCCATAGGGACCCTATATAGGGTTTCTGAGGAGCAGCTGGTAAGCTTGAACCACTGACCTTCCAGTTCAAACAGCTTTGAAGTCTGGAGCATTAACTCACAGTGCCACATGAGGTAGGGTTCGTATAATCACAACTCATAAAGACTTCCGTGTGCTTAATTCTGCTTAAGTCAAACTCACAATGCATCACCTCTGGTTTTTGTTATAGTGGAGCAAGGACTTAGCTTTCTGCAGATTGAATCTGAGATTTTGATCATTTCTCCTAATTGCTCAGTGTTCTTGCCTACCCAAAAACACTCTGTCCCATCTGGGCTGTGAACAAATCTTTCCAACTTGGTTTTCAGACACCATTTTTAG